TATATATATATAATAACAATAATAATTTGATTATTTTTTATTAGAATTAAAAAAAATAAATACACATAGCACATGTTTTTTCACTAATTTTAATATGCAATTATATTAAATTTTAGGTTAAACTCATTTAGTTGTCTAGGTTTTTGATCCTATTTTTTTAAAATTCTCAATTAAGTCCTAAATGGTGCTAATTTCAATCAATTGAGTCCTTGTCGTCAATTTGGCTTAATGATGTTAAGTTTTTGTTGAGGTTGGAGGTTGACGCGTCAATTTTTTTAAGCGTGGCATGCTGAGAGGAATGTGCTTGTGCCGCTGTCAGCACCATGGGCAACCCTAGGCCGCTGTTAGACACCCTGCCACCTTGCCGCAAGACCACCTTGCGCCGCCTTCGCGTAATCAATTTACAACATTCCAGCAACCATCTTCATCTTCTCTAGTAGAACCCTCGAACGCGAATCGCAACGTTGTCCCGAGTTCGATTTCTCCACCAGTTCGCGAACATCTTCATCAACCTCCCTCACCGTCATTCAAACACCATCCAACACTGCAAGCCGTCACGACTGTCGCCACCCAGAGCTTCCTTTTCGCGCTGCAACAGCGCCGTTTAAACTACCACCGCAAGGGCAAGACGTCAACCATGGAAGCATCTTCATTCTCGCGTTCATCATCAGACCCGGAGAGCCAGAAATCGCAAAGATGTAGAAACTTCTCCATTGTAGAAGCTTCAAATCGCGAATTGCATCAGCCACAGTTCTCCCTCCTCCTGCGCGAGCCATCACCGTCTTCCTCAATCTGTAAAGGAAAACCCAATCACAGAAAAACCCTAATGAAGATTGGGCGAAATCAGACCACCAGCCACAATCATCTTCATTGTGCTGCGCCTCATAACCATCAAGCGAAAATCAAAATCGCAAGATCTCCTTTCTCCATCACTGTCCACCTTTGTGCACCGCAAGAAAGAAGAACAACATCACCTAGTCTCGCGCAAGGTTCACAAGACTCTCACAAGCACATTCCTCTCAGATTTTTTAATCACCAAATTCCACGTATTCAACTCTCAACATGCCACGTTTAAAAAAATTTACACGTCAACCTTCAACCTCAGCAAAAAATTAACTCCGTTAAATCAAATTAACAAAAAAATTATCAAAATTTTTTTTCAACAAAAAAATTATCAAAATTTTTTTTTCAGAAGTGGGATTTGAACCCACGCCCTCTTTCGAAGACCAGAACTTGAGTCTGGCGCCTTAGACCACTCGGCCATCCTGACTTTGTTGTATAAATAACGTGTAGTTAATTCTTGTCACTTTTTAATCTTAATTATGGTCCGTTACACCATCAAACTCTTCCATTGAAAACCCTAATATTAGGAATCACAATCACACTGATTACCTAGTTGCGATACACTGTTCTATGTTTGTTTTTTCGTTTATCACAGAGGCTAATATATGACGTTGTTTCTCTCTAAATTTCAGCATATCCTACTTCACTTTGACCATTGAAGTTCGCATACTCAGTGTTATTGCTCTTCTACTTCAGTATGCTCCTGCTTCTCGCATTTAGTATAACAATCGAAGTTTAGAACTTTGTTGAGAAGGATTGAACATAATATTCATTAGGTTTTAGGATTTTTATATTAGAATTTGGTTTTTTGTTTTTTTATAGTTGGAGTCTATTCTTGTTCTGCTTTTTGTGGCCAGAAGTAACTGTCAAGGTTGGGTAAGAAGGGAGGAAAAGGAGAAACGCGAAAATGTTCTTCCACATAGTGCTGGAGCGAAATATGCAGCTCCATCCACGCTACTTTGGTCGTAACCTTCGTGATAACCTTGTTTCCAAGCTAATGAAAGATGTGGAAGGCACTTGCAGGTGTTTTGTTCTTCATTGATATTTTTTCTTCATCGTGATTAAATGAAAAAGGAAAAAGGAAAAGTATGTATTTTTAATTATTGGATGATAATTGGGAATGTTAGTTGTAACTGTATTTTGTGATTAAATTTCATGCCAAGTATGTAATTCAGATAGTGGAACAACAAAGCATTTCTCTCTAACTGACTGTTTTGGACCTTGGATGGATTTAACATTTGGATTTTCAACTATTCTGCAGTGGTCGACATGGATTTGTGGTGGCAGTTACAGGGATAGAAAACATAGGGAAAGGGCTAATTCGTGATGGAACAGGGTTTGTGACATTTCCAGTTAAGTACCAATGTGTTGTCTTCAGACCATTTAAGGGGGAGATCTTGGAAGCTGTCGTCACCATGGTGAACAAGGTTTGGACAGTTCCTTTCTCTTTAGAGTAATTACGCTGTGTAACTCGAATTTGTGGAGATTGTGGTTTATGGCGGTTGAGTTCTGTTTTGTGCAGATGGGATTTTTTGCTGAAGCTGGACCTGTACAAATCTTTGTTTCAAACCACGTATGTATTTGTGCTTTAAAATGTGATATTATATATAGATCTTCATGTCAAACACTAAAATTGTGTGTCCTTTATTATTCCTGTCTTTGGAATTTGTCTTTTATAATGTGTTATATCTAAAAGATTCTTGCTATTGTTCTTCATGCTAAACACTAAAAATTATATGTCCGTTATTATTGTTGTCATTGGAATGCCATGGAAGTTTTAGAATTTGAATGCTAAAATTATGTTTTTCATTTATTGATATTTCAAAATATTGCAAATGAGGTTTTTGGATATCCACCCCCTCCAAAGTCTTTGTAACCCCAAAATTATCCAATAGTGACTTCTAATTGGGAGAATGATGGGTACCCAGACTTTATTATTTCCTCAAAGAACTCCAAGACAGGGTCTTGGATGATCTGAAGAGTCTAGACAGTTTGATTTGCCCAGAAAGTAGAATACGCACACACAACACCAGGTCTTTTGAGAAGACCTGTCTCTCCCTTCCCTTTGTCTAAAACAACACTGAAAAACTGAAGAAAACAACCTTGTCCAGACTATATATAATAGTCTATTTACAACAGCTTAACCCCCAAACAGTTATAACTGTCTATCCCCTTATTTCTTCTTACATTGACCTTCCCCCTAAACCTATCAATACCCCCTCCATGAAGTTTCACCTTGTCCTCAAGTTGAAAAGCAGGAAATTCTGTATTGATGGTTGTATCATCTTCCCAACTGTTTCAATGATGGGGAGTGTTTGCCATTTAAAGTAAAACTCCAAATCTCCATTGGAGAAGTGCAACGTCTAGCAGCTCCTCTGGATAGACCTCTAAACTCAAAATCTTCGTAAGCCATAGGTGGAAGAGTTTGAACTGGATGGTTGGTTGACAGCGCGCTTTGAGGAGGGAGACAGGAAAGACGGATGAATTCTGCTTGTGAGTAGGAGATCCAGTTTTATACGCTAAACACCCCCCCCCCACCCCACCCCGCCCCTCCACCCCCCCCCCCCTCCCCCCACTCCCCCCACGCCCCCACCCCCCCCACCCCCCCAGCCCTTCCCCCACCCTCCCCCCCTCCCGATCCCCTCCCCCCAACACCCCCAGGAAGAACACCCTCTGCCCCTCCGCCCACCCCCACCCCCCCCCCTCGGAGCCGCCCCTCCCGTCGCCCCCCCTCCCCCCCACGCCACCCCCCCCCTCTTCCTCCCCCCTCAAACACCCCTTCCCCCTCCTTCCACTCTCCCCTCCCCTGCCGACCCCTCTAACTCCCCCCTCACCCCCCCCCCGGCTTCGCCTCCTGCCCTCTCCCCCCCTTCCCCCGCCCCCCCCATCCCCTCATTCCTTGACTGTATAAAGACCGTAAAGTCTGGGCCTGGGCTTCTCATTAGGTCTGTGAGCCAACAATTTCAGACGATTGGTTGCAACTTAAGGTACAACCCAATCACCTATTTGGAATTCCACCTCCCTCCGATGTTTATTTGCCTGCACCTTATTCTGTTCCTGCACCTTATTTGCCTGCACCTTATTTGATTCACACTACCTTGGATGGGATAGTAGTACCTTTTAGCAGCAGAGGAGGTTCACAGCCCATAGAGGGCCTTAAAAGGGGACATCTTTGTAAAGCACTGTAGTTAGTATTAAACCAGAATTCTGCCCAAGACAACCACACTGGCCACTTCCTAGGATGTGTACTGGTCATGCAACGAAAATAAGTCTCTAGGCAGCGATTAACCACCTTTGTTTGGCCATTGATTGGGGATGATAGGCAGTGCTGAACTTGAGTTTTGTGGAGGCCTGTTTAAACAACTCTTTCCAAAAATTGCTTAAGAAAATATTGTCTCTATCAGAGACACTCCACTGTCAGCCCCTTAATCATCTCCTCCAATCTTCGGAACCTTCTCTGATTTTCATGTTTCTGTTCTTTCACTATCGCTCCAACCTATCCAATCTTGCCTCCATTCTCATATTTACCATGCCTCACAACCACCACAACACCAGGAAAGAGCCTATGAATACCATGAATAGGTACCCAATACTTCTTATTTCCTCAAAGAACTCCAAGACACAGGTTCTTGGATGATCTTGCAAGGGACCAGATAGTTGGTCTGCCAGAAATGAACATCCGCACACAACACCAGGTCTTTTGATAGGACCTGTCTCTTCCTCCCTTTGTCTAAAACACACTGAAAAACTGAAGAAACAACCCTGTCCCTGACTATATATAATAGTCCCTGTTTACAACAGCTTAACCCCCATACAGTTTAACTGTCTATCCCCTATTTCTTCTTACTTAATCTTCCCCCTAAACCTATCAGAGAATGCCTGAATTAATTTTTGGGCTAGGACAGGATGACTTAGATCCATTTCTAATCTATATTTTATTTAATTGTATTCTCTAGCTATTTCCTAATTCCTCTTTATGTAAAGGTGCACAAGTGCAGGAGTGAAAAATAAAAGTGATATAACCATCTGATGTTTCTTTTACATATGAATGGTATCTCTTAGAAATTGGGCTTTAGGACATAACGCATCTCCACAAAATTGGTTTGTAAAGTGAGAACTGCCCAATCCTTATAGTATGCACTATTTAGGTCATGTCACTAGGTTATGTGTTACTAAGCGCATCCCCTCACACCCAACACATTGGAAGTGCTGGAGGCTGTTCAGCAGGCTACCTAAAGAGGGTGCAATTAAGGAGGGTCAGGAGGACTGATTATAATTAGGCGATTTTGGCCAACTTTAAGTTGTAATCAAAGCTTAAATTCCCCTACATATTTTTGCCTTCCTTCTTTACATTTCTGTTTGCTTATACTAACTAACATCAGTTTATAATGGGATCGCTGGTGGCATCTATAATTTTAAATCATAATGGGTATGCTTTAGTTTTACCATACATCTCAAACCATTACACTTTCCCTGTTTTTCATCCAAATTAAAATAAATTACGGCATTACTTTGAAACTGAAAAGTTACAAAATGTAATTGTAGTTTTTTATACATAGATCTGTTTTTTGAGACCCTTTTTGTCCCCTTTTTAGTTGATTCCGGATGATATGGAGTTCCAGTCTGGAGACATGCCAAATTACACTACTTCAGATGGATCTGTATGTATCATTTATTGCTTCCCCAATGGAAAAGAAGAGAGCAAATTATTTATATTCTGTTTGTTGTCATGCCTTATTTGATGATTATGGGTTATGTATTTATTTTAGTAAATTGGTCTTTTGCAGGTTAAGATTCAAAAAGATAGTGAAGTTAGACTAAAGATAATTGGGACTCGAGTGGATGCTACTGAAATTGTATGTACATATATTATGCATTATACTTTATTTTGTTGATTGCTGTTATTTAAGCTCCTTCAGTTTTAACTAATTTCTGTTTTGAGCAAATTTAAAATAATGAAAGATTTTTAGCTCTGTAAAGGATATAGCTGTTTGTTTGTTCCCACATCCTTTTTCACAAATCACAAATGCCTTTGAGAAAGAGCCCTTTCTTTTTTTGCTAATTTTAATGCATAGTTCATCTCATGACCACTATCTTGGCATTAGTCTGCAATATCATGAAACTGGTGATTTTTTACGTCTCTGGAATGCTAATTTATGCTCTGGTTGCTGGTAAACTTAACCCTTGTCCAAAGTAATCAAACGAGGAATTTTATTACTAAGCAATGGTTTCTAGCTACAGGATGGTCTTATAAATTTACGCCCATATTTGTGGTATGCAAATAAGCATTGGCACTCCACGCTGCAAATAAACTCTTGAATGTCGGGAGAAAATTATGAGTAGAGATATTTTCCAGTTACTGAATGCAATCAGAATGATATTATTTTAACCACCTTGATGTCACTTGTTGCCTGTATTGTTCCCGCCATGTTTATTTGTACGCCTTGTGTGAAAGAACTCATGATGCTGATGCCTTGTAAAACTAATATCATTTTAGAAAGCGTATGATACTAGGTTGAACGCTTGTTTAAGTTTTATTACTCCTGCACGTGTTGGTCTATGTTTTCCTTCCCTTCAATTGTAGTGCTATAGATATGAACTTTGCAACTGTTCAGACACAAATCACTTTTTCTTCGCATATTGAATATTTATGTGGTTTTAAATTTGAATGTGTTTTTTTTCAACTCACTTATCTGATATAATGCGTCTTCTTTTGGCAGTGCTGCTAGGTACCATAAAAGATGTTTCTTGGGTGTGATCAACGACCCTGCCACAGTTTTTAAATACCCCTTTCTGTCACTCTTTTATCGTATATAGTTACATGACTTGGGTTTTCCACACCTTGAATCCTCCAACAATATGTTTTTGTATTAGCGCTGTTTAAGTACCAAGTCCGCTTAAATTTGGTTCCAGAATTAATATTCAACTCCACAAGTAATTTTAGGTGTGTGTAATAGCTTCAAATATAGAGGAAATTGCATTTTTATTTTTATTTCAAATTTTGCTCGATTTTTGTTTCTGTGATTTACAGAAAACTTTGTTAATTATTTTAGCATTGTATTGACGCTTTTTCATATATCGTACCAAACATTAATTTTTTGAATAATACTCTTACTTTAATCCTTACAAAAACATTGTTGTAAGTTAATAAAATAGAATTATCAATAGGGAATTCGATTTTTTTTTCTCTAAAATATAGAGAATTTTATTTTAATTTACGTTAAATTTTAATTAATGGTTTGAGTTTCTGTTGATTGCGGTTGAGTATTTATAGGGGATCAAATGACTTAATTTTAGTTTCTATTTGATCCAAAATCCTTATGATGTTATTTATTGAAATTTATTGACTACTTATGTATGAATTTTAATATTAAGAGAAATTAAACTATCTTGTATATTTTAAACAGATAAGATGACAAACTATTTTAAAAAATAAATCATAAGTAGAACTAAGCTTGAAAGCTTCAATAATAACTGAAATTATCATATAGAACCAAAATGTGGATCTTAGTGATTATTTTGTTATTTTATGCCATTGAGGAAGATAATTTCAGGTTTCAAATAACAATTTTGAAGCTTCCTGCTGATCTTCTACACAGAGTAATTTAAATCACATTTAAAAACAGTTAAAGTTCAAACCACTTGAGTTCAGTTTTATATTAGATCTTATGATATCATCAGCAATGACTCGATTAGACCTTTTTCATCCACATTGTTCATATGAGAACGTATAAACTTACTAGGAATAGGATCAAAATTGTCCCCAACTCATTAATTTTTCTCGATAAATCCGTATTCCAAAAAAAAGTTCCCGATTAATTATATTGTTGCTAAGTGCTAGAATCTTTTTCTTCCCTTCCTTCTTAGCTAGTTTTGGATTTTTTAAAAATATCACCACTGTTCTTAAGTTTCACAAATTTTCAAACAATAACATCATTAAGTAAAAGGCATTAATCAAATGGATTTATTTCCGGAAGCAGAAGGAGCACAATGGTCCTCGTTAAACTGTAACAAATTATCAGTTTTTCTTTCTTAATTGAAGAATTTTTCTTTTCCTTTCTTTTTTGTCGACAACATTGTGTTAGAAAACAAATCAAATTATGAAGTTCTATTTTTTCTTTGATTTGTTGCTTGAACCTCCTTTATCAAATAATTATTCATTATTTGCTTTTGGGACATTATTGGTGAGACCCCCACATGGTGGCAAGATACTGCTGGCACTTACTGCTACAGCTTCCATTTTGATGCAACAAATGTGGTTGTGCCCTTATAGTTTTTGTTGTCATAGATGATTTTTTGGCAAAGGACACATCACTTGGCTTGAGATTGTGCCTGTACTCCACAGTCACTTGTTCAAGAACTTCAACCTGAAACATGTTCAGCTTCAACTTGGGGTTCATGTGATCTCTAACAAATGCAAAAGCTAATTGATCTCTTGGGTTGAAAGCCTCCAACTCATTGAATATAAGACATGAGAATAGATTACTTCTTAGTCCATGCTTCCTCAGGATCAGTGCACTGTCTGGTACATCTGCCAATTATATTCATTCCTTAATAATTATTTTTATGAAGGTTCCAAACATAAATGAAAAAGTACATTCTTTTCTAAAGTTCATGACACTGTGGGTCATACAATTAGCTTAATTCTCCTAACAAATAGTTTAATGAGTAAATAAGTGCATTTTTACGTGTTGATATAAATTTTATCTTACGATTTTATAAAATTGGGATAGATTTAAAGTTCAATTTGTAAAATAATATCAAAATTATCCGAAATTTATTATAGTAAAATTCATTGTTTGTGTTAAGATCATTAAAAGATCAATTAATGTCTAATCCTGTAGTCTATAAAATTATGGTTTGATAAGAGAAATGTATTAAAAATCCATAATAACTAAAAATAGAATGAATTTAATATATATATATATATATATATATATATATATATATATATATATAAATTTTCATGTATAAGTCAATTTTATACAGTTGAGTTACACTTAAAATGTATTTCTTAATATATATGAAATTATCAATTTTTTTTATAAGTTTGGAGATTTATAATGTTTTTTTACATGTTGAACATGTCAATAATAGTTGTTAAACAAAAGAATAAAGATATTTAAAAATAAGATGCAATCAACCTGAGGAATATGGCATTTTGGTGGGACTCCATGGCTGCAATCCATTTTCACAGTAGGTCTCCATCTGCATCTTCAAGGCATTCAGATCCCACCATTTCTTCCATCTGGCAGTGGCCATTGCTTCTTCCATGGTATGAACAAAATGTGGGTGTTTTGATATAGCCATGTCTGCATTCTCAGATATAACGAGTGAATGAATGAGCAGCAAAGGATCAACCATCAGTTGCAGTTTTGCATCTATCCAAACACTGAATTGGGAATTTGGAAAAAGCCTATGAACTAAATATTTTGGTATAACACCATTCATCGCTGGGTTATAATACAAATCCTCTTTCGTAACCTTCACAATTCTCCACACACCTATCTTGTATCCACTGGAATATGTTGAGATTAAGCCATGATATTGAAGCCCTTTCAGGGTAACATCATCTATGAACATGAAGAAGCAGACATTTTCTAGTGTTTGGGACCCAAGACCCCTAGGTTGTCGGATCTTGTCGTGGTCATTGAATATTGCTGAAACTACAACTACACTTTCACACTTTTCCATGGCTATTTTATCTGCATCCAGAGAAAGAAAAAAAGGATACAACATGAATTATGATACACCTTTTGAGAAGATTCACATAAACACAATACTAATAACATATAAATACCTAACATAATAATTTAACGAAAACATTTTTAAGTTTGACATAATCATATTCATATAATTGATAATGTTTATTTATATAATTGATAATGTTTATTTATATAATTGGAATTGATACATTTATTTATCATATACATCCTTAAACTTAGTTAAAAACATAGTTCTCATGAAATTATTTACTAGACCATCTCTTTTAGTTAAACTTAAATCAAAATTTTTTTCTCTTTCTTCTCCCCAAGTGTCACATTAATATGTTCTGGTGGATAATTCTTTCATATTTGTTATCTTTATTATGAATTCATCTTATCATACTCATTTATATAAATAATTCTTACTTTCTTTTTTCAAGTTTAAATATTTCTTTTAAACTTCAATATTCACCACCTAAAAATATGTTTAATTGGATAGTAATAAAAGTTTAAATACTTTATAACAACAAATTACTCTCTGTTATTTCCTTCGTTTTAATTATCATGCATTTTTTTATTATTAATTTTCTCGTTACTTTATAATTTTGGTCATATATACTTATATTGTAAACATATGTTTAGCCATCTTCTCTAATTTATACTTTCAAGTCATTCGTATATATTTGGCTTCCCTTATATATTGTTAAAATTCGAATGCGCGCATTTTTGTTTCATTTCTAAGAGAACAAAGTCCTTCATTTCAAATGCTTTTTTATCCATTATATTTTCAAATTCAAAGCTCACTTTGTTTTTCGGTTTATTGGTCAGAAATTAATCTTTGTTTAATACTAGTTTCTTATTTTTTGTTCATTAAAAAAATATTTCATAAAAATAATATTTATTATATCTTTAATAAACTAATTCAAGATATTATTAAAAAGGACACAAGACTATGTACACCTAGTCTTAAAAGATTTTTTTTTTCTTTTACTTTTGTTAGAATTTCTCATTTAATCATTATTGTATCATACATATTCCATATAACTTCAGCATAAGTTGCATAAATACTTTATTTTTTCTTCAATCTATCTCATAACATTTTTCTTAATACTTTACTAATGCTTAAGAGCCTTCACCATTTTTCATTCATTTTTTTCCAGTAAAAACAAATAAATTAAATGAGGATAATGAAATTGTCTTGATCCATATCCAAAATAAAATTTACATAAAGAAAAGTTAAAAGNTAATAAAAGTTTAAATACTTTATAACAACAAATTACTCTCTGTTATTTCCTTCGTTTTAATTATCATGCATTTTTTTATTATTAATTTTCTCGTTACTTTATAATTTTGGTCATATATACTTATATTGTAAACATATGTTTAGCCATCTTCTCTAATTTATACTTTCAAGTCATTCGTATATATTTGGCTTCCCTTATATATTGTTAAAATTCGAATGCGCGCATTTTTGTTTCATTTCTAAGAGAACAAAGTCCTTCATTTCAAATGCTTTTTTATCCATTATATTTTCAAATCCAAAGCTCACTTTGTTTTTCGGTTTATTGGTCAGAAATTAATCTTTGTTTAATACTAGTTTCTTATTTTTTTGTTCATTAAAAAAATATTTCATAAAAATAATATTTATTATATCTTTAATAAACTAATTCAAGATATTATTAAAAAGGACACAAGACTATGTACACCTAGTCTTAAAAGATTTTTTTTTTCTTTTACTTTTGTTAGAATTTCTCATTTAATCATTATTGTATCATACATATTCCATATAACTTCAGCATAAGTTGCATAAATACTTTATTTTTTCTTCAATCTATCTCATAACATTTTTCTTAATACTTTACTAATGCTTAAGAGCCTTCACCATTTTTCATTCATTTTTTTCCAGTAAAAACAAATAAATTAAATGAGGATAATGAAATTGTCTTGATCCATATCCAAAATAAAATTTACATAAAGAAAAGTTAAAAGTAAATATTTTGAACTTAAGATTTCCTCCTACTAAAGAACATAAATCCAAACCAAGTCTTAATATTTGCCAGCTCAATTGCATACACTTATCTTTCACTCAACTCATGCATACATGAAAAGGGAGGGAGAGGAACTGACCAGAATCACTTATTGGAAATTTCTTCAAGAATCCACAAGGCACTTCACTGCTATCGTTTTGGTGATCAAAAAAAGAAAACCTTAAATGGCTACTCAGATTCCCACCGAAACTATCACCACCACCCTGCATCTGCATGTACCTCACATTTCTTGTGGAACATTCAGCGTTCCTGCTCAAATTCTGAATCTCCTTCAATACATCCCAGTAATCTGAACACAGAAACCAACACCCTTTAGCAAAAAGATGCTATCTTCATCCTAAAACAAAAAAATAGTCGCCAAAATTTTGTAGGGTCATTACAAGCCTTGGCATTGGTCCATATATAGTACCTGAAAAATTGAGAGGAGAAGAGCAGGTAGAACGTGAGGTTGAAATGGCATACTTGTGCTGTCCATAGGAAGAAGGGTAGGAGAAGAGAGAAGAAGATTTAATCAGATGAAAAGGTTCTGATCTGAAAAGGCATTTGGATTGAGAGGAAATGACGTAAAGAGCAAGGAAAAGATAGGTGAAGAAGAGATAGAACAAAGAGAAACAAAGGAAGAGATGTTTGGTAGTTGTTAATGTTATTAGGTTTTCCATGGATTGCTTTGAGTTTTTGCTTTGATTTATGGAACTTGATAAAGGAGTGATGTGATGATAAGATATTCATTGTTCCATTAACTTAAGACCCACACACATTCATTCATGGGCTATGGGACCTTCTTTGTAAGGTAGTTGTACTTCATCACCAACTTTTATCACCCAAGAATGTTCTCAATTGAAATAATGATGTAAATTAGTAAAAGCACATATACACTTTATTAATTTAATTGAAATGTAATTTATATGTTTGACTTAAAAGTGCTTAATTTTGTTTTCTTTTTCTAGTTTATAAAAACCATGTTTTAGATAATAGAGTTGAAAAAAAAAGTGCAACTAAAAGGAAGGAAATAAAAATTATTTAGAGATGTTGTACTTTTTATTCTTTAAATTATAAAAAGGTTTAAAATTACTTTTGATCACACAGTCTTGTCAATTTGTAATTTTGGTGCCTATAATTTTTTTTTTAAAAATAGTAAAAGTTTTCAAAATTAAGCAATTTTAGTGTAGTGTAATATATAATCTAATTACAAAAAATACTAACACATTTTTCATGATCACGATATTAAAACTTATCAATAAGCATTATTGCTAATATTTTATTTGAATAACTAGTATTGTTATAATTTATAGATATGTTAACATTTTTGTTGTTAGAAATTTAGAAAAAATGTGGACTTAAGTTCACTTGATCTTCTAGGTTCGCAAAATTAATTTTTTTTTGGTGCAGCATAATATATGATTTAATGCTACCATAACATACTTTTGTAATAACAATATTAAAGCTTGTCATTAAAATTTGACATAAATATTTTATGTAAATAAGTAATTAAAATTGTCATCAAATTGAAAAATATTAATAATGGACTTAAATTGCTTAATTTAATAAAAACTAATAATTAAATTTTAGACACAGAAGAAAAATCATGTATTTATAAAATTACAAAAACCAAAAAGTGGATTTAAGCAAAAAAAAGAAAAGAAGAAGAGTATTATAGTATAACAAAATTACTTACTGTAAAAAAAGAAGTCATATGTAAAATTAACTTTTTTTTTTTTATAGCAACCAAAATTATACATTCACCATACTATACAAGAAGATAAAACCTTTTAAAAACTAAAAGAAGTGACATAGCTTAAAGTTTTAAATGTAGAATTAAAAATTAGTTTACTTACCAGTTTGAACAGGTTTTTAGAACTGCTATCTGATTGCTGAAAGGAACTAGCTTTTACTGAGAATCAAGTTTGCTGATTTCAATTCCATGATTGTTCATTCGCTAGCCCTCAATCATACGTAGCCAAGCCAGTTATGCGGATTATGGTCGGGTGAGTGTTCCTTGGTGCTTTTGAATAACTTTATATCTGTCAATATCAACCAGATTCCATTCATAACAAACCCATATACACTCTTATAGTCTAATCAAACACTCCATTTTTATCATTTCTATACACAATTTTATCATAATTTAAAGGACCTTCCAATCATCAAATATTGGTTAATAATTAACTTTAAAGTAATGTGACTTGAACTAAACTAAACTGTATTTATGTTGTCACTCAGTTTATTGTGTTTGGTCGAGAAAATTTGATAGAGTAATTAATTTATTCAGAGAATTTTGATAATTTTTTTTTTTTGGAATAAAATGATTTGTTTGGATGAGAAAATTAGAAAAAATTGAAATTGAGAAATTTTAGAAAATTATTTTAAATAATTAAAATAGAATTTGAAATTGACTAAAAAAAAGAAAATTGAAATTCCATAAATTATGAAATTTTTTATTGGTCAAAATGAAAAAAGTTCAATAAAGTTGATTCATATTGACCTTTCATTTAGGCTAATTTAGCTTGTGTTGAGTTGGCTTGAGCTGAAGGTCATATTAAGTCAGCTCAAACTTGTTACTAATGAGGAGCATTGATATCTTGAAGATAATGATTTTGATGATGTTACAAAGTGAAGAATAAGAAGACTTCTCTTGTATGAGAGTTTAAAAGCATTTATGCATAAGAGAAGACATCAAGATCGAACGATAGACTTCATTACCGATGCGGTTAAAGTTATGATCAAGACCAAGCAGTGGAAGGCTGACCGTGAATGAACTGTCGTATCAAATATAAGGTTGGAACGGTCCCTAAGCATTTGAAGGCCGAACGACATATAATAGATAAAGGTCGAACACTTTTCATGGCTGAATACAGCTAGAAGACCGAATGGTCGATAAAGACCGAATATTGTTCATTGCCGAACACAGTTAGAAGACCGAACGATACCTATATGTCAACAACTGAACGGTCACTATCAGTCAAAGACCGAACGATATGTAGTAGTTGAAGGCTTGGCAGTGTATAGCAGTTAAAGACCGAACACACTTCAGGACCGAACGAAGTTGAACATTGGTGAAACTGAGTAATACCGAACGATCACTAACACTGGCCAAACACAAGTTGAAGACCGAATGACAGAAGTCAATTCAGGGCCTCAAAAACCGATGTATGAAGAGGAATAACTGGAACCGTCAAGTTGAATAATAAATATTCTAAAATTAAATTTCAATTCTCGCAGATAATCGATTATCACTTAAATAATCGATTATCACTGGCAGTTGTAATGCATTTCTTCAGTTTCGGACTAGTAAGCTATATATACCTTTGTTAAACACTTTAGAAAGGTATCTAAGTCATTTGAGAATATAGTGTGATCTGAGGAAGTTCTCAAGTGTTAGTTCATTGCTCTTGTCAAGTCTTGTGAATAGGTGATAACAGTTGAAAAACTGTTATTTTTTATGCTTAAAATTGATACCAAAAGCAACCTTTAAGACTTAGAAACTAGCTTAGAAATCATGCTTCTTCTGCTTATAATTTGGGAATAAGAGAGTTGAACAGATTTCTGTGCTTGATTTTTCCTTGGTTTAATTAGCGGTTTTAAGGATCTTTGATGAAAGAGTGAGTAGGACGAGATGGAATCAGAAAAGAACCAAAAAGTACAAAAGAAGAGAAGGCGCGAGTAATCGCTCACGCCAATACCGCTAAGCGACCTTCTGATACTCGTTGGAAATGCCACCGCTGAGGGGTAAAAATGCAGCTGAGGGGAAGAATTGATGACGCGCTGGTGCCGCTGAGCACCATTATTTTGGGCCTGGGCCTACTTTTCTGTAATTTTTAGAACTCTATATAAGGTTTTAGGTGACATAGGGTTAGTAATTTTGGTAGAGAACGAAGCAAACACACACCTCTTCACCCCTTGGAGGAAGATTTTGAATGCTAAGGCTACCTACTCAACTTTCTAGGGTTTTATCCTTCACTCTTTCATTATTTTTCATCTAGTTTCACCATGAATATGTGAACTAAACTTGTATTGTTGTTGGGGAATCAATGTAATCTTTTGAAGCTCCATATATGGAATTTGGGTGTTAAACATCTTAATTTGAAGATACATGCTTTCTTTCATTAATAGTTTAGGGTTTTCCTCTTTTCTTAAAGCATTCAGTGTTTAACTCATTCAATCATGATTATTGGTGTTTGTCGATATGGACAAATACGGGATTCTTAATCCGGGAAAACTCTCCCAACATAAGTATAAACCTTGAAAAAAAAAAACAACATAGGATTTGATGGTTGGTTGCCTTTAAGCTTCTGTTCATTATAAATGCATGATAATGCTAAGGAGACCAGACATTGAAACTATGATTATGATTAGCCTTTCTTTTCTTCACGGACATAGGGTTTAAGGTTAATTTAGAGAGTTTGCATTAACATAATGAAAAAAATGATGAATTCCTAATATATGAAGAGTGGATAAGATGAATTGATAAACCCCAACACATACTCATCTATAATTCGTGTCAAGTGTTTTGTTCTTCTTTTTTTTCCATTGATCAAATTCATGCATACATGTTTACTTTTGTATTTTGCATTAAAACCAGAAAAAAAAAAAAACCCCAAAGTAATTGGTTTTTAATAGCAAGTCTTAAATAATCAAACAATCATATAACTAACTAGGCCGTGAGTCCTTTGGTCTTACCAAGTTTATTACTTGATACGATTCGGTCACACTTGTCGAGGTTTAACAAGTTTTTGGCATCGTTTTCGGTGTTAAAAATATTATCACTGGCAGTTGTAATGCATCTCTTCAATTTCGGACCAGTAGGCTATATATACCTTTGCCAAATACTTTAGAAAGGTATCTAAGTCATTTGAGTATACAGTGTGATCTGAGGAAGTTCTCAAGTGTTAGTTCATTGCTCTTGTCAAGTTCTTTGTGAATAGAGAAGCTCGCGCTTTGTGTTTCAAGGTCGGAGCGGTTTCTCTTCAAGTGACAGAACCTGTTTTCTTCTGGTTCGTTGGTCAAGGAAGATTTTGCTTGCATTGGTCCTGTTCGTCTATCGAAGGAAAGTGTTCGTTGCGTGCTTTCTAGTTCATTGTCGAAAAAGTTTCCCTTCTGGTTCGTTCGCGAAGGAAGGTTTTTATCATTCTTATTTCATTCACTATATTGTAATCTGTAAAATTGTTTTTAGTGAAAAAGTTAATCACTATTCATAGTGATTAACGACTGGACGTAGAATCTTTTGATTCGAACCAGGATAAAAATCATTTTGTGTGATTTTTTCGACTCCCTACCTCTTTCAATTTTCTGCACTTCAATTGTTTGATTAAAACTTTTAAGAGAAAATTAAAGGAACATTTTTAAAATTGATCGAATAAGCTCTTTCCTTTTAACAATCTGTATCGTACTCTATTTTTGATATTTCTGCTGCGCAAAACATCGGTACCAGTTGTTCCCAACAATTGGTATGAGAGCTTGATTTTGATATTATTTTCAATTTTTTTCGAAATGACCGGTCACAAAATCAAGTATTGTTGAGGGTGCTTCCATCAACATACCACCTCTTTTTACTAGTGATAACTATGCCTTCTAGAAAGTCAGAATGGAAATTATTATGGGGTCTGTTGACAGAGGCATCTGGGAAGCTGTACTAAATGGTCCTTATATTCCTAAAAATTCAGTTGATAGTGTGGAAGTAGAAAAACCATATTTTTTGTGGACTGTGGATGAAAACAAAATGGTAACAATATGATTGTTAATAAGGCCAAAAATATAATCTTATCTACACTAACCCCTTGAGGAATTCTTTAAGGTTTCTATTTATAAAAGTGCTCAGAAAATATGGGA